GTCTTCTTTATCTAGGAGAGCTGGATTCACACCCACAACTCCAGGCTGACCCTGTGGCACATAGTCTCTAGGTCATCAACATCAGATATTTCAGACTCTGAATCAGGACTAAGAATTGCCTGATCTTCCTCATGCAGCATCTCTACAAACATTTCAGCCGTTAATCTAGAATGTCTGGGATCAACCATACTAACACTCTGGATAAAGACTGCACAACAAGCAGTTGATCATGTATATACTGATTATATATTGTCGCTGTCAGACAGAAACCTTGTATGTCCAAAACCATTAATTTTCAGGAACACTGACAGACATAAAAGGTGACCAATAGCACTGATTTATGACAACAAATAAAAATGATGAAATGTTGAGATACGAGGTTTCTGCCTGACAGCAATGATATGTACTTGTATATACAGTAATAACGTATTATTTTGACTTTTATTTTGTTTACCTAGCTAACATTAGTTAGCTAGAATAGAATGTCAACAACAAGCTAGATAATAGTATTGGTCACTAGTAATAGATTTCGAGGTCAAGGTAACCTTGATTTTTGACCCATATGTGTAAAATTGATGTAGAAAGTGTTTTTTTTAATAAAGTAAAGAAAGGACAAATAAACAATGATTTGTGGAAATCAAAAACAAGATATTTAATGAATAACTGGAATAAAAAAATAAAATGCATTTCTTTCAAAGATTCAGCAAAGAATAATTTAGGCATGATTGAAATAACATAGGAAATGAATACGGGTCATTTTAGACCCATGTTGTACATTAGAAGGGCAGTGACAAACTATTTATTCAAAAAGAAAAAAAAAAAGGATTTGTGATGATCAAAAACAAGTTAATTGAGGAATTCGGAATGATGAAATAATTTTTTTGCAAAGATATATAACAAATAAACTGTCAGGTCACTTTGTACCCTTGTTGTGCATCAAAGGGGTCATATGATGCTGCTAAAAAGAACATTATTTTGTATATTTGGTGTAATGAAATGTGTTTATGCAGTTTAAGGTTAAAAAAAAAAAACACATTATTTTCCACAATGTACATTTTTTCTCCTCTATGCCCCGCCTTTCTGAAACACGTCGATTTTTACAAAGCTCATAGTTCTGAAAAGCGAGGTGTGCTCTGATTGGCCAGCTATCCAGTGCGTTGTGATTGGTTGAATACCTCAAGCGTGTGACGGAACTGTTACACCCCTTACCATACTGTGTTTCCATGTGTCCCGCCGCGATGAGACAAAACTAATAAAACCCATTACAAATGAGGCATTTGTTGCATCCAGTGGGGACATAATTACTGATTATAATGACTTGTGCTGTGTTTTTATGCTGTGCGTTGCGTATTGCGCCGTGTAAACATAAAACCATGTCTGCATTTGTAATTGGAGAAATGACAAACAACAAGCGCTACTCTACACTGCTCAAACTCACGTTTGAATCAGTGGCAAATTCTTTAAATATAAAACAAATGAATAAATAAAACACACACACACACACACACTGGCTGTGAGTCAGAAGTGCCAGACTGTCCTTGCAAAGTTGGAACTGCCCCACTTTATAGAAACATTGTTTGACCTTCCGAAAGAGGACAAAGTAGTTTCGCTTTTACAACGAAACACACAGCGGCTTGAGTGAGCGGCACCCAGCAGATTCGACAAAGGAGGCTTGCGGCAACCACATGTGACAACCCCGGGCTGGACTACGCTTCATCCAGCGACCAGCACGGATCAGCTCTAGACATGACGAAGCGGATATCGTCCTTTTTTGGAAGGCCAAACAAAAGTAGTTTAGCTTTCACAATGAAACACACCTCGCCACATGTTCTGCAAGTTTGGCACACTAAATATTGAACTGAATTTAAATGAGATGCATGCCATTTTCCTACTTTAAAATATAAGACCTATAAATAACCCATTTGAAGGTGGAAAATTCCAAAAGTGGAAAATGTTGTCCCAATGTTGATACTTGCAGGTCGAAAACTGGGAGTGTGCTTCTTTGATTTAAAAGTATGCCAGAAGACGGTCAACAAGGCATATTGGGAAACAATTTAAAACTATGATCAAATCTTAAAAAAAGGCCAGCTCGTACCAACTCTGACCCTTGGCTATCTGATGTTCTCCGTGAGCATCATTCTAAGCTCAGAGCTGCAGAAAGAGTCTGACGCAAATCACAAAATCCTACTGACCTTAATGTATATCGTACCCACTGCTAAAAGGACATACTATCACAACAAAATTAACAATTCGCCTAACTCTCGCATGCTCTCCCTCCTCCTCCTTCATCAACTAACAGCTGACGACTTTGCCACATTCTTCATTAATAAAATTACAAACCTCAGTGCACAATTTGCCACACCACAAACTCCCAAACACATTACCAGCAAACATACACTCGTTTTCATCCTTTTCTCCACTATGAGGCAGAAGTCTCTAAACTCATCCAACTACTTGTCCGCTTGATCCTATTCCATCTCATCTCCTTCAAGCCATTTCTCCTGCACTCACATCATTAACACATTCCTTCACACTGGTGTTTTTCCCTCAACATTTAAACAGGTTTGTATAACCCCACTTTTTAAGAAATCCACTTTTAACTCTTTTAGAGAACTACAGACTTGTTTTCCCTTCTATCTTTCATTGCAAAAAAACTTGAACGAGTTGTTCAACCAAGTCTCTGCCTTTCTCACACAGAACAACCTCCTGGACAGCAACCAATCTGGCTTCAGAAGTGGACATTCGACCACTAGGTTCTGTCATTCAGAAACATGACTTTTCATATCACTGCTATGCTGATGACACTCAGCTCTACCTTTCATTCCATCCTGATAATCCAACAATAGTTGCTCGCATCTCAGCATGTCTAACACATTTCTTGTTGGATGACGGATCTTCACCTTCAACTCAACCTGGCTAAGACAGAACTGCTTGTGGTTTCAACAAACCCATCACTTTATCTGCATTTCACCATCCAGTTAGGCTCATCAAACATAACTCCTTCAAAAACAGCTAGAAACCTTGGAGTTGTGAATGATAAGCTGACTTTTTCAGACCACATTGTTGAAACTGCCTGGTCCTGCAGATTTGCTTTATACAACATTAGGAAGATCAGGCCCATTCTTTCAGAACATGCAACACGACTCCTTGTTCAAGCTCTTATTCTATTCAGGCTGGACTATTGCAATGCTCTCTTGGCAGGTCTTCCAGCCACTTCTATCAAACCTCTACAATTAATCCAAAATGCCACTGAAAGATTAATCTTTAATGAACCGAAAAGAACGCACGTCACACCTCTGTTCATCAATTTGCACTGGCTACCAGTAGCTGCTCGCATAAAATTCAAGGCATTAATGTTTGCCTACAAAACCACCACTGGCTCTGCACCCCTTTACCTAAATTCATTACTTCAGAGTTGTACCCTCTAGAACAGGGGTGGGCAAACTTGGCCCTTCCAGGTCACTTTCCTTCAGAGTTTAGCTCCAACTCTAATCAAACACACCTGAACCAGCCAATCATTGTCTTCAAAACTACAGGCAGGTGATTTTTATTAGGGTTGGACCAAATCTCTGCAGGAAAGTGGCCTGGAAGGGCCAAGTTTGCCCATCACTGCTCTAAAAGCTTGCGTTCTGCAAGTGAACGACACCGTATGGTGCCATCTCAAAGAGGCACAAAATCACTTTCACAGACTTTCCATTAACGGTTCCCTCCTGGTGGAACGACCTGCCCAACTCAATCTGAGCCCTTGGCCATCTTCAAGCAATGACTGAAAACACATGTTCCGTCTTTGTTTGACCCTTTAACTCCAGCAATTTCTATTCTAATTATACTTCATATCTTATTTTAAAGGGTCATGAAACCCCAGACTACTTTGAGCTTTTAGCAGAGGTGTTTGTGTCGCACATCATAGAAGACCATGTTAGCGTCCGATAATTTTAACTGTTGGAGAAAACTGGTCAATTTTAAGCTTTTATGCACCATTTTCAGCTTTCGGGTTTAAAATCTACATTGTGTTGACGTCACAATTTGGGAGAAGACGCGTCGCATTTCACAACAGCATGTTGATTTGCCATGACATACGTTTCAGACTGAGAAACGTTAATGGATCGAAGGGTGTGTTTTTGATTTGTAATAAGAATCCGGCCCAAACGAGATTCGTTCACTTGGTGAGCAAAACCGTTTTTACAGCTCCGTGACAACCCGTGAAAAGGCTTAAACACCACAGAATAAGCCTTAAAAGTTCTCAGAGGTGCAACCGAGCAAATGGCTGTGCATTTATTTGAGTTTTTAAACTATGGGAGCAAAATGAAACCATCTGAACGCGAAGCTGTGCGCGCGTGTTGTTTGTCTCCCCTCTTCCCCCGACACACAGCATACCATGCCCACTTTTTAAAACTGGTGAGAACCAGTGCTGAAACCAGGAGTTTCATGACCTTTTAAATAAAAACTAGCCTTCTATTTCATCTACTCGTTTTTCCTCAGTGTCCATCGGTTTAAATAAAAAGCTACATTTTACTGCATTAGGCTAACCGAGACTTGTCATTTGCACTTACATAGTTGCTTTTTGTTAGTTTTGATTGCTTCTATCATCTGTAAGTCGCTTTGGATAAGCATCTGCTAAATGATAATTTGGGAAGGCAAGGAGAAATTAACGTGCTCATTTGAAGTTACCAACACAGAAAGAAATACATTGCATAAGATGCACGCAATATCTGCAGTGCTTCTAGGAAGTGGGTGTTCAAGCAGAACTCTTGGCACAGACTCCAATTAAATGGAATTCCCTTTACAGCATCATGGGCAATGTATTCCACCTTTAAAGTACTCTTCAAAAGGGAGCTCACAGCAGGTCTCTTTAAAAGGTTCATAATTTCCCTACAGAGGAAAGGGAGCCTTTCCTTCTTGAAAGAATAGATACAGTAGGACTACGTGCTTTCCCACTCCAATCAAATTTGGTTAAACTAGACAAGAAAACCCAGAAGCAAGAATAGGCTTTTCCACCCCCATTTATTGAAAAACAGCTAAAGACTTCGGTCGCTCTTGAACCATTACAGGACCGAGTGAGGCCTTGCCTTCCCACTGAATGACTAGAGAGGGGAGGAAAAGAGAAAAAAATAAATTTAAATCTCAAGTTAAATAGATCACTTGTGCCAAAAGCTATTTAATAGCAGCGGCCTACCTCCAAAAGGAGAAGCAGCAATTCCACCATCAGGACCACATGTTGAGTCACAGCAACCACAAGCCTGGTGGTTCCCATCAGCAGCAAACCACCTGCAACAACAAATATCAGAGACGGCACATTCAATGTTTTTTTAAGCAGCATTAACATACCCATTGGCAAAGGAACAGGATTTGCGGAGAGCATCACTGGGTGCAGAAGCAAGAGTGGCCTTCAGAATACACGTCATGTAGATCTGCAAGAGACCCCACAGGTAAGGTGTCACAAACTGAAGAAAGGAAGGGAAAAAAAAAAAAAAAAACAGCACATACAGAAGGACTATATCCTTCCTGGAACATGAAGGCCTCCAGCTGGAACTGGATCTTGTCTTCCTGGGATCGAGGCATGAAGCGCGAGCTGGAAGCTGTAGCCTTGGCATCCACAAGGCACCTGAGAAAGTGATGAAGGAACTCAATGTCAATATAACCTTATCATCAGGGTCAAAGTGGTTAAAGAGCAGCTCGGGAACACCAACATCATATGCCATGACCCAATGACAAAGCACTTATGAGGAACTCAAAACCCTCTAGCCACTTAATGTAAGCCGACTTACCCTAGTTCTCAGTGACAAAGTGGTTCCAGGAAGCAAACTCAACTATTGCCTTGTCCAAATACACACACGCGGTCTTGGCCACTTGAGCGTGCGCATGTGACAGGAAGTGCGCAAGACTGTCCCAGATCTTAAACTCCAAAGCACCCTTAACGCACACGTTGAATACCACTCCAGAGCGATTTAATATGCTAAATAATAAATGGATTACATAATTTGGTAGAAAAAGTTATTGGTGCAAAGATTAAATTTTTTACAATTGCAACTGATTTTTATCACTTAATTAAAAGCACCACAAATTAAAATTGTTATAGGGACTACTGTACAGGCATTCAGAAGTGGTTTAAAATACAAAGTACTTAATTAAAATAAAGCCATGTAAATACGTTAATTTTTACAACACTAAGTGTGACCCATCATGTAATAAAGTTAGACAATTGGTTTTAATGCTCAATTGAACACAGAAAATACATAGTCAACTGCAAAGACCGCAACTGTGGGTATTTGGACAAGGCATATAACATTGTGAAAACCTTACCCATGATTCTCAATGAATGAATATCTCGGAAGGGCATTCACATCAGGTACTTGGGTGGCCACGCAGTGGTCTACAAACACACGCAGCGGAACATGGTTGTACACCTTCACGGATGCCTCAATATTAATAACATCACCCAGGAAGTACAAGTGTGAAGGCCTCGGATAGGACCAATCATCTGCAAGAAGAACAGTTTAAGTACAGCCTCAGTCACAATGCTTAAGGTCTAAAGAAACTGCACATACCCATCATGAGCTTCAGGGAGAACAGCAAGACTTCCTCGCCAACCTCCATTGAAGCATAAGGGACCCAAGTTGGCCTCAAGGCATTACTGCTCACATTATGAGACCTGCGGTTCAAAGAGGCACCAAATACACGGTCTTCCAGTTGCAACACTAGAAACAGTGCTGAAAGTCACATAATTGACAATGCTTAAGGTCTAAAGAAACTGCACATACCCATCATGAGCT